TAACCGACTGCGCTATACTGTGTATATATACCCAGTTAATCAGTTGTTGGCTCTAAGTCTGCAACCGAAATGTACATACTTTTGAGCTGGGGTTTTAGAGATACCAGAAGTGAACATTCAAAATCTGCGAATTTGTGGTGGCTTCCATAAAAACTGTCACCAAGCAAACGGGCTAACTAACAATAAAAATATCTATCTAAAAATTTTGAATGCTGCTTTGTACATATAGACACAAGTCAGATTGTTTAAGTTAAATAAAACTTTTTTTTACAAAAGTTTTGTATTTTCAGTTGAGAAAATTAGTTTCATCTTTTAGTTAAGCAATAAAGAAAGGCTCCACTGTTTCACACAACCTGAAAAGGCAGGCAGCGTTCTACCTATGATTGAATCCAATTCGGCGCCTTTTCGACTACCAATGTGCCATATAAATTAGTCTCATGGGAGCAATTTTATTAAATCAACAAAAATTCGCAATACTGGCAGCATGTTTCAGCCCTGCACACACTCTGCCCGTTTGACGCCCCTTGTTTTCGGGAGTTTTCTGCCGGGGAAAGTTCTAAGTAGCCACAGAGAAACAGGGATGGGCCGCTTGGATACCTTTTGGTCTCGGGGTGGAATGGCGCGTTGATATTAAAAAGATTGTGTTTCATTTGAATGCGTTTCGCATTTTTCGGTTGGTTTCTTAGTTGGATATTATAATATATTGAAGATCGCTTATTTGCAATTTAGTTTCAATGTCTGCCAAACCTCATCACAATTCGGGCGGCTATACTCCCATTTTTTGCCCCTTAAATCTAGACATACTATCCTGAGCTTTACGTCATACATTTATTTATTAATATAAAGTTATGCCAGCAATAGATTCCAGTTTCTACAAATATGTAAGAAGTTTTGAAAACATTCTACTGTTAAATATGTTTTAGCTCACGCAATGGTTGGTTCTAAGTTCTTTTACTACTGAGATGATTTTAAAAATGTTATAGTTCCACATTAGTTTCTTACCCTTATGTAATATAGTAAATGTATCTTAACTGAAATATTCTATTCTTATGCTGGCTAAGGCGGAGCCGGTTTTTAGTTCCGAAATCGCTGAAGCACATATTCATGAGTCTTAAAAATAAGTTAAATATGTTTTAATTTGAAATTTAATTTAAGGTGATAATTTTTAAAGCGACTATGGTGCACTTACATCACATAAAATAAGATTCTACCTCTTAAGGGCTGGTCTGTCAAAAAAAAAAAAAACAGAAAATATATATATCGATTGGGAACTTTAAAATATAGCCCCGCCTTTTGCGCTATCTGATTATAAGAAATGGAAACTGTTACAAGCCATCAATTCTCATTTGTTCTGTTCAATTTCCATTTTCGACAGCTCTAGACATATTGAAAAGTGAAAAATGTACGCCTTGGGCTTTAAATGAGCGCGGCAAGTATTCAACAAAAAAGGAAAAATTCATTTCATTTTGTTAATAAATTATGATATAGCAACGGTTGTGCAATTTTGCAAAAATATAACAAGGGAAGAGGCCTACCCAAGAGTCACACACGCACGCTTACACACAGTTCGGATGAAACATGAAAAAGTGTCAGGGGATAAAATCAACCTGTGCATTCGCAATGAGCTGTGAGATACACCCGACGCATCATCACAGTAGTCGCAGCAGCAAACATACAGTGGGCACAGGTTGTCATTTTCAGAAAATGGGTAACTGCGACAAGGTTTTGGACCCTTTATTTGCAAATATTGCACATAGACTTGGACTGGGATTGCGACGGGAACGAGAACAGGAACAGGAACAGAAACAGGGGCAGGAGTGAGAGTGAGAGACAATGGCATGGGGCGTATTTGTTTGCATTCTTAAAACACCCTTCGCGCATTAATGGCGGCAACGTTAGAGGGCGATGACTGAGAATGAGGGTAAAGGCGCCATTGAACAGGGTGTTTTATGCCTAGTTTTATTTATGCAAAATAATGTTTCAATTAAATGAAACGTGCTCTGTAATTGCCAAGCATTACATTACCTAGCGCCGTGGCCATTTTGCACCGCTGTTGCCAAGCGAGGATTGAGGATTGCTTCCGAACCCGAACTCGAATCCGCGCCGGGCATGGCGAGATTGGTAGCAAAGGGAACATCTGTGGCGCGCTGTAATTAGGCCGCGCATATGCCGCAGCAACAGCGCCGGAACATTATCTGAATTTAAAATAGGATCAGCGCTCGGCATTTGCGGCTTTGTTTGCAATGTCAAAATATTGTACATTTTTGAACGCTACTCGGGAACGAATTCATGTACCATAAATTATGGGGCTCAGTTGACTATACATACATATGTTTATTGCATAATTGCATATTTAGGTATACAAGTACATATATTGCATTTGTATCTTGTAAATAAGTATATATACTGCGAATACTTAGCTTGCATGGAATAGATTCTTTACAAAATTATTTAACTTGTATTTGTTTAATTTAAAGTAAAGTGTAATGCATTTGAGCATATATATTAAATAAACCATAAGCCCAATGAAAATAGTTTGAAAAACAATAACAACAACAAGTTAGAACCAACGACCCTTTGTCGTACTTTTCGTTTCGCATAATATCGATAAATCCCTGATGAGGCTCGAGCTATAGTCAAGGAAGCTGCTAGTAATCATATAGCATATAGTAATCTATATGCTGCACCCATTTAAAATGGTGAAAAGGGGTATATTGGTTATGTACAAATTGTTGTAACAGACGCAGAAGGAGCCATCTCCCCATTAAGTACATATATTCTTACTCAGCTTCAAAAGCTGAATTGATCTAGCCATGTCCGTTTGTCTGACTGAGTTTTCCGGATTTTTGAGCATATACTCATTTGCATTGGTATTAGTATATGTTCTAAGCCCCCATTTACATTTTATAAAGATCGGAAACTATGTTATTACTTTACATGTTTTTTCGGTATTTGGGAAGATATAATGTTTGTAACCACAAGGTTTCTGCTGATCGGGCATTTCCGACTACACACTTAATTGTTCTGCTCGGGTCTCTGGTGCGATTTCCATAACAAATTCGGGATTTTGTGCATATATATAAATTAGTTGTGTAATAAATACAAATTGTAATGCAAGCTTGTCCTGTTAAGTATAGTTTAATAAAAAATTCATTTTAAACAATTCCAAAATATTCCCATGTGTTATGGCATTGGGACACGCCCACAACCCTGATTATAATGGCATCCCACGTGCTTCCGCTAGAATTTGCTTCGGCTCTCATATGTAGTGGGAATATATAAAACGGTGCCTTATCGCGTCAATTATCGTCTTCGGGGCCAGTTTATCGCAGAAACTTTTCTAATAACAGCATCCAAATGTGAACTTATGCCAAGCTACGTGCCTGGCATGGCGATGTCCTCGTACCGAACAGACCCGAAATAAACGTTGGTGCCTGCCTCCAACTCTGAACTGCCGCCCACTCATCATCAATAGGGCAATCTTTGGAACGCCATTTTGGCGTTTTCGAAAGTTTCTGTTATTTCATATATGAGCCATTTGCGTGCTTGTGTTTCCGTTTCCGCCAAAGACGCAGCTCGTTGACGCAGCCATTATGTTGTCGTTGGTCCAAACGGAACACGGTCTGGGCCCCCCTCTCGCATCGTTCCCGTCCCAACTGATTGGAAGTCTTAGTCCTTTCAGGGCTGCTGTAGCGGCTGATCTGTGTTGCACATGTGCGCGCTATAAATGCTCTCGTTATGTGTGCTCTTATTATCATAATCCCTTGAGTTGTTGCCGCATTAATTAAATTTAATTAAAGACGTTTCGCAACATTTCTCATGTACGTGGTAAACGTTGCAAATTGGAAATCATGAACAGAGCACATGGTACATATAGGCAGAGTCAACCCCTCGATGCGTACCCCAAACACAATTTACTCTCTGAGTCCTAGCCCAGACAGGAGTGAAATTAATTTCCATAATACGAAATGTCTAATATTCGCATTAACTTCATTAGCAAGTGAGAATGTATCAATTAGCCATTAAGGGACTATCGCCTAGCTCGATTCAATAATGTCTGAAACGACTTTGCTTAACCAGTTTTGGTTAAGGCGGTGAGATTTTTGCCACAAAACAAAATATAACAACATATATATAAATAAATATATAACAAAATAATAATACCCTCTAAGGGGTATAAAGGTATAAAAATCTTTTTTTTTTTAATATTTTAATAAACATTTAGAACTATGAACAACAGTGGTTTGTTTGGGAGTGCCGCAAATACAGTTTGAATTTGCCAACACATTCGGATAGAGAATAATACTATCTCATAGAACCGTCCCTGGTTTTTATTGGCTATATGTGGGCAGCTTTTGGCAGCAACGACAACGCACATAGTTATATGCCAAAGCCCGGATGCCGGATGTGGTATTGTTTTGATTAGTCTCAGCTGAACAAAAAAAAAGTTTCCTTAAAGTTTTTTTTTTTTTTTTATTTATTTTTGGTAATTTTCTTTGTTTTTTTTTCTTAAGATTACTTTTGTCATACAGCGCCATTTAATGCTTGTTTTTAACCATTAGCTTATAAACTTTCAAAGCTGTTGCTTGCATTTTTCCAATGACTAAACTCATTGAATTGCTTCCAAGCGAACTTTGTGATCGTCTATTTGTTTATTTTGAGGTTTCTTATAACATATGCATTGCACTGCACTTTATTTAAATATATTAGGGCAAGAGTTGCTGCATTTCAATTATATATGAGCCACTTCCTCTGTAAAAGACTTGTAAGTCCCTCATAAAGTTTGAATATCATTCAATTACGTATATGCCGTGGTGAAGACATTTTTTTTTAATCGATTGTTTCGAAAACCGAATTCGATTTCAACTTGTGGCTGAGTGAGTAAGATTTTGGTTTTTAATTGATTTAAAATTTGTATATGTATGTATTTGTTAATAAATATATTGTTGTCTTCTACGTATATAAGTTGTCAGTTTTTAGACTAATCGATTCTTTTAATATTTTATGACTCTGACAGGTCGGTCAATGTCTTGGATGGGCTTTTGTTATTGTTGATTTGTGTTGTTGTTGTTGTTGTGTCAGAGACGTGCGAAGAGAGTGAAACAAGTTTTCTAAAATATTTTAATTATTTTCGTATCATCATATAATACACAACTTGTCACAACTAAACTTAAACTAGAACTAACAGAAATATCTTAGCATTAAACTCAAACAAAAATGTATGTAAAAAGCGTGTGTTAAACAAAATGCGCCGATTTGCTAGGCCATTAAACTAAACATATTTCAATTTCAAACTATCAAAATATCATAAATATTGTGTGGCAAACAAGATTAATCAAACCCATTCAGATTTCAAAACAAAACAAAAGGCAAAGGGTCTTGCAGTTCACGTGGATGCATAACAAATTCCTATAAGAAATTATCGTATCTATGAGATAGTATAATAATATCACTTGAACCAATATGGGGGAAAACAAAGCAAAAGCATAGTTTCAAAATGAATTGGACTGATGATAGACGTTTCAAAAGTGACTGCAATGAATGTTAACCGTACTACATACACGTATATGGATATATTCATATATATATATATGTACATATATATATAGTATATAGAAGTTCATATTTGTAATATATATTTGTCGTTAATTTACGTTTTTGTTTGTGTTTGCAAATATGCATGTGTAAGATTTGCTTCACTTTATGTACGATAAATAAATATACTTTTTACCTTTACTTTGTATCTTCATTATATTAAATCAACTTGCAATTCTCCTCTCACTGTTTACGCTAAGTAAATTTAATTTTGGGAAGTTAAAACTCTACATATATGGATTTTTAGCGCGTTTTTTTCTTTTTACTTGGCCTGCTCAAAATTTATTGGTTGGGTTTTTTCTTTTCTTTTTTATTATTTTAATTTGTTGTATATTTTGTTGTAGTTGTTGTTGCAACCTTAAGCTAATACGTATTTCAGAGTTTACTATTTGTAATATTTAGTGCGTAGCATTCAACGCCGATTACAAACTTACATTTTATTTTTCTATTTTAATATTTTACTTTAATTTTATTCACTGGCAAAACGACATTTCTCTTGTTTTTGTTTGTTTTTATTATTATTATTATTACGTATTTGAAATCATGATTATGCTTTTGGGTATGTTGCATACCGTTCGTTACACATTAGAATACACCTAATCTATTATATGGGGAAATGTTTGCGCCTTTAGTTTAAGTTTTATTTTTTTGTATTTTGTAGTTCAATGTTGTTCGTTTCATTTTGCATTTATGTTTATCATGATTTACATTAAGCTGGTATTATAATTAATATTAATATGGCATTGACGGAACTAATGTATTTAGAATTCGTCTAAGCAAAATATAAAAGCATTAAAAGCATACAACAAATTACAGCAAAACATGCAACACAATATAAAGAAAATTGGAAGAGTTTTTCAGTTAAGAACATAAACAAAAATTTCCAATAAATAGTATGTGAGTACAGAACGTGCGTACAATCTTTATCTCTATAAGTAAGTAGGGGTATTATATATTTTTAAATTCATACATGTATTCATAAACATAGTTAAACGAGTTTCTTTACCATACTATGTAATCCTACAGCAGTCGTAAATAATTTTACATATTAACTCGCTAATTGGTCATTGACAATGGGCCAATGTCCATCAAGCAGAAGTTTTTGACTATCTGACTATTTGACTATAAAATATCGCTCATTTAACATGGTTTTCTCCAATCATTGTTGCCAGTCTGGGAACCTCTACGATTCAGCGTTTTGCTCTCGTTGGCAATACTCTATCATTTACCGCTATTTTATATAGATCGATGGATTCATTAACATTACTATGCTGTGCACAGGGGGTAATTGTAACTGGTGGACAGACATCCCTTGAATTAGGGGCATTCGAATAATAAACTAGTTAAAACAAGTTGGTTTCATACTCCTAGGCAATTCTGTCTATCAAATAGGCAATAGTGTCTAAGGAAGTAGCGATACGAAAATCAAAATGTATAATAAAGTCAAATTTGGGGTTAGAAATGTTTAAATATATAAAAATAATTAAAGCCTTTGCAGTTACATGTCCATTTGCCAACTCATAAACAAATTATCTGTGACCCACTGTGCACAGTCATTGATCTTGCTTGTGCACTGTATGCATGCACATATTTACTTGGTTATAAGTTCATGTATATTTATCCGTTATATGTAGACTTAAACGACTATTTACTATGTAAAACTTTACGTATTTGAGTTATCAACTTTGTTTTGTTTTTCGTATTACACAGAAGAGACGAAAAAACGCCAAACTCAAGGCATCAAGCGACGACGACGACGACGACGACGACGACGACGATGACATTGACGATGACGATGACGATGACGATTACCGTAGATGGTAGGTGGATAGTAGACGCTAGTGATAGTAGCGGTAATGATGATAGTTGAGAGAATATCCACGCAACATTTAGGAGTTGACTTTACTAACCGCCTTGAGAAGATCGTGATTGTTCTTATCAAGGGCGCTCATCATTCCAAGATTGCCACCAAGGCCAGCGCCAAGACCTGGTCCAATACCAGCTCCGACTCCAACGCCCACTCCGACACCCATGCCCAATCCAAGCTTGAGATCGTTTTGACCGACAACGGAGTGGTGCAAGTGGCCCGGATTGTGTGTAATAATCGAATGATGATCCTGCTGCTGTTGTTGCTGTTGCTGGTGCTGTTGTTGCTGCTGCTGCTGCTGCTGTTGTTGCTGCTGCTGCTGCTGCTGTTGCTGCTGCACTTGCTTGTTCTGCTGGGCGGATTTCATAGTCTCCTGAGCCTTCATTTTCTCTTGTTCCTCTCGGTCGCGGCGTGCCTAAAACGTGAATATGAAAAGAAGACGGGAGAAATGCATATTAGGCAACTATCTAGACACATTGCTGGCGACCTATTTAAAAAGTCCGTCGCAATCGTTTCGACATGCTTCCGATAACTTACCTGTTCGTTGATCTCTTTGACCGCGCGCAGCTCCTTCTTTAATTTCATGCGTCGATTCTGAAACCAGATCTTGATCTGTCGCTCGGTTAGGCAGAGCGCGTGTGCAATCTCTATGCGTCGTCGCCGCGTCAAGTAGTGGTTGAAGTGGAACTCTTTTTCGAGCTCCAGCGTCTGGAAGCGAGTATAAGTCTGGCGGCCGCGACGTCGCGGGCATCCGTTGGGCCCTGCAAACGAGAGGAGAACAAAGAAATTCGCGTTAGTCACGATTGTCACGCACACAGCTCAAGTGTTGCTATAGTGCTGGTTCCGTTTTTTGAAAACTCGTAACGAGCTGCGAAGATGCTGTCAGACTGCCAAAAACGGATTTTCGCCTCGCCTTATGGTTGCAACACATGTGAACGAGTATTTGCATCGAATCGGCTATTTTATGGAGCCCGAGTCCGTTAATGGGCTTGATTTGTGTCCAGCCATTAGCCAGAGACAACATGAGCAGCAAAAGCATTGCTGCTGATTTGGGAATTGTTTAATTGCGCGCTGAGAGCCGCGAATACTGGCGCAGAGCGAAAGGGCAATGCGATCGAGAACAGGAACTAAAACGGCAAAATAAACTAACATAGTGAACAGGGACCGGGACGGGAATGTGAATGCACTGCGAATGTCTGCTGCAAATTACGAGCAAAATAAATAATTTTTCTAACCAGGCCAGCTCTGACGTCAACCGTCAACTGACAGTCGACAGCGCCACACAGCGCAAGGCGAATCGCGGCAGGACATCAGCTCCCTGGGGGTCGGCTGACGGCTGGCCGGGTTCTGATTCCGATTTCAATGGCGATTGCACGGCATGTAAAGGGTGAACGAAAACAGCTTTCGCAGTAGTAGCTCCCGCTGGGATGAGAAACGTTTTCCAAGCATTTTTGTCTTACTTTTCTCGATTTTCTTTGTAGTTTTCTCTATTTTTCTTCTTTTTTTTTTTTACCAATATTTCACGCTACCTGTGTGAATTTTTTGCGCGACGGTGCGTGGATGATACAGCGAGGCAATGGGAATGGGCTTCGTGTTTATGTTTCGGAAATCAAAATTTCGCTATCTGCAAATTGCGGGCCAGGGATCACTTTTCCCGCTTGCTGTTTTATGACAGCACCTTTCGTTTTGCTTTTTTATTTTCCTTATTTTTCTTTTTTTTTAAAGGTTTTCACGTCAGCGGCAAATTTTTTATGGTTGGGCAAGTTGCTAGTTTCCGACAACAATGCGAGGGACAATTTTTGCGTAATATTTTGAAAGGTGCATTTGTATGGAGTTCCACTGGAGTTGTAAATCATCACACTCAAGCAATTTTTACTTTCCTCAGAATGGGTTTTATAAACGTTATGACCAACAATTTACAAGCGGCGGTAAGTCAAATCTGAAATGCAAGCGCTGCGTATCAAATCTACATATGATCTCAACGAGTATTTTATCATTTCGTTTATTTTAGCTGCACGTGAAATTCTGAAGCACAGAAAATAATGCCCATAAAATGGCCAAATTCAAGTTTCACGACTGGCGGAACTTTGGCAACCTCCAAGAAACTTGAATTCTAATCAACCCCCAGTTAGTAACAGACAGTCTATACAAATGCTAAACTAATCTAAATTATTTACACGCTACAGTAAGCAGCTACAATTCGTCCCATAAATCACGACTCCCAGGACACACGCGCCCCTAAAAGAGATTTACGACAATCGCAATAGGGGCGCACAGGTGCGAGCGAGATGGCTACTTTATGCACAGGAGTGCTGGAATCCAATATGGCTGCCGCAGTGTCTGTGTCGGACAGGTAGACACACGCGCAGACTAACATACACACACGCAAACGCATATTAAGAAAGCGGCGGCGTCGTCATGGCAACGACTGTTGTTGCTGCTGCTGGCAGAGAGAGGTCGACAGTGACGGCGACGGCGACGGCGACGTCGTTGTTGCCGTTGCCGCTGCGGTGGTGAGTCGGCGCACAGTTGAGCAAGCCAAACGAAACCGGAATTTCGGAGAGCGGAGTTTGCTTTGAGCTAAACGGCAGCGGCAGACAAAGAGAAGCGCAGGACCAGAAATCTATCTCTGAAATGTGCGAGACATATTGATTTTTCATTCAAGTTTACGGCTGATTTTTGTAATGGCCGTCAATGGTCGACTCGTTTCGTCTCCGGCCCCTGCGGAATGCACTCAATGCAGTTTTACTCACAAGTCCATTACACTCAGTGGCGAGCGGGGCTATTGTAGAGTGATTAATATGAAATTCATATTAATATTGATAACTAAATTCCCAGACTGAAAATTTCTGATATGCAATAGGTCAATGAATTCCATGAATGTATAACTATTGAACTTTTCTGTGAATATACAAAAAGTTTGGATATAGAGAGTTTTGATATAGTAAAAAGGTTCTTCAATAAAATAATAATAGTAATAATTTGGTAATCCCTGAACACATTGAAACTGGGTAAGAAGGCTATGTGCAATGTATGTAACACGCAGAAAGAGGCATCTCCGGCCTTATAAACTATATACATATATTCTTGATCAGCATCAACAGTCGAGTGGAGTGACCCATGTCCGTCTGCTTGGCCGCAAGTTTGTATATTTGAGAGAGACTTTTAGTTTGGAACGTAGGTCTTTCAAATCATAAATTACTCGCCCCATTTCCATAAAATCGATGTCGAAATCGTGTATTGAGAGCTTATCTCGCAGCTAATAAGAAATAGATATACCAAATTTGGTATTTAGATCAAAATGAGTTTTTGAATACCTGCTCATTTCTGCAATAATGGTAGTTACGGTTTTGGTATTTACAAATATTTCGATGCTATATAAAATTGCATATAGACCATTTGGAGCACAGTAAAGAAGCACAGGGTTCTGGGTTCAGGGTAACTTCTAGTCGGACACTACCGACTGCAGCACTCTTACATGGTTTGAATTGATTTGTCAACACGACAAGTTCTTCTAAGTTTAAACGAATATACTTTAATATTAAAAAATTGTAACATGTTTAATAAATGGCTTATTGAAAAGCATTACAATTAGACAATTAAAAATCATTCATATTACAATTTTTCTGTATCAATATATTTCCTCGATGCGTTTCTCACAGTTTGGTTTCTTGCAAACTAGTTTTCGATTGATTTAATTTTATCCGTGACTTCGATTGAATTACATCCCCGATGTACAGATAAAATTCAATGAATTTACTGCGCATTTAATTAGCGGTAACTAGAAATCAGGTTTAAGTCTGCGAAGCTAGCCCAAGCGAACGGGTTTATTGCACAATTCCGTGCAAAATCAATTTTCTTTCTACTTTTAAAAAATCAATTTGCGTGCCATAAACTGCCGCTGCAATTGATTGATGATGCGGCGCTTCTTAAACAGAATCCGAAACTGGTATTGTTCATTTGGGCATCCAAAATGATTTAGCAAGTGGGCAGCGCCTCAATGCCAGTGCACCAAATATCGAGGGGTTGGGACAACCATCGAGTAAACAAATGCAGCGTTAAGAGATGCCGCACTTTCCAGACTCATTGGTGTTGAGAAAGTAGCAACAAAGGTGGGACTAGGGACTCAACGGGTCAACGGTGCCGGAGCGGCAAATGGAAAAAGTGCGGAGGTGAATATTTACGGAAAGGCGTCCCAAGAAACCGTTGTCAGTAATGTGAATGGGTCGTTCTATAACAATAACATTAAAAATTAAAAATATTCATTATAATAAACGTAATTGTTCAATAAACAGAGGCGCGTATCAACAAGCCCCAACCACAAATAAAAAGCTGACTGAAACTTATGGATGACATTAAAATCATAAAAACAATTCAATGCGTACAATAAAGATACAAGCACACACACACACACACACACACAAGCACACGTAAATTGGCAGCCCATCCGACGGGTACGGCTAGCAGTAAGAAAAAGCTTTTTAAGTAGTTTGTATGTGTTAGCGAATATGTATTATGCATATAAGTTTTTCGTACACTAATATGCAAAGTACCTGTATATATATATATATATATATATATATATACCTACGTATGTGCACGTATCTAAGTGTGTATGTATCTGTGCATTTGAATTGTAGTGTCCGTGGGGAGGGCGACATGAACGGGTCCGCTTGTTTATCAGGCGACACAAAATTGTTGTAGAATAAACAAACATTTTGTTTATATTTTCTGTGCTTTACTTTTTGCTTCGATAAAAACTTAAAAAGTTTACATAACGATTGACATAAACTTTGAAACATTGTGGCTAGTGTTCTTGTGTTGACAATATTGTTTTTGTGGCCATTGTTATTGTTTTTTTTTTTAAGCTTTTTGACAATTCTATCGAACCGAGATCATGCCTGGAGAAATATTTATTAATTTCCTTCATTTTGCTTGGGTTTCGACAGTTAGAGAAGATTTGCTTGCTATTCCTTACTGTCATTTTTACTTTTAACAGCTTCCATGTTTTCTTCGATACAATCTTAAATGCTGCGCGATAGTTTTCAAGTACACAACAGCATTTTTGCAAGGCAATTTTCTCATGAATCATCTAGATTCGAAGTGGGTCACCGGAAAAAGTGTCTCTCTCAAATCAATGCTCAATAGGTTAACAATAAAATTCGCTGAAACCGACTGTAAGAGGAAATGCTGTTTTAATTTTTAGTTTGATGACTAGTTATAAATGTACATCACATGTGTTGAGGTTTTCTATGTATTTAACAGATGAAAATATGGTTTCATACATGCATATATGATCAAGTTTTTCAAAGTAAAATACAGTGAAATTCTGCTAACGGACACTTTTCAAACCATTGATAATCAGGCCATACGCATTTGTCCTCTAAAGGGGATCTTGTCTTCAGCATACAATAACTAGCCGACGGATGTTGTCCGCCCAAGAAAGTTTTTAGTTTTTATAAAAGCTAAATTAAAATATACAGAATTACTGGGACCCCCACATAACCTTCAGGTATGTGAATACCTCGCGTCTTCTGCCAGGGTGCTTTCGTCTATTTAACAGAGGCATTTCTCTACAATTCATAAAAATATGTTCTTTGTTTCCGTTTAAAAGTGTACAGACAAGAGAGAATTGTTCGTACAAATTTTAAAAATAACTGTGACAGATATTGAGGGGTATCGTCTCCAAATAAGTGTCCGTAAGCAGCGTTGTCACTATATAACTATAAATATTAACTTTTATATATAATGCTTAACATTCATTTTCATTACACATTTGGATATGAGGTCGATAACATTGATAAAGAACGATTTAAAAAAAGATTATTTAAGGGAGTATTCGAAGATTACAAAAGATCGAGAGAAATTAAACATGTTAGTTAGTTAGTTTTACTTCAAATTGAATAATCTCAATTTCGTTGCATTTTTGATTATCAATCCTTGTTTTGAGGTTTTTTGATTGGGGTATAAAATTATCCTTGTAGCGCACTCATGATAATATCTTGTTAGCTACTTTCTTTTTCTGGCTATTGTTTGTGAAAAGTTTTCTTAAAATTTTGATTGTTTCTCGCATCACTTGGGCTTGTCTACACTTGCCTTTTGGAATTTTCACTGCTCAATGTGTTTGTGCCGGGCTTCGTATGTTTTATGCTGATTTGTTTATATTCGGTATGCATTTTCGAAACGAACTTCCCGGATGGCATGTTGAAAGATATATAAACAAACATCAGATATTTAAGAAACACATGCAGCTCGGCTAATACAAAATGAACAATGCGCGCCCAAATTTTGATGCCTCAACAGTATTCCCTGGTTTCAAGCTGGCTGGCCTATTGCTGGCGTCCCTTAGTTCATTGTTTCGATGAGCATGAAGATGATGTTTTGAGTATTTAGCACAACTTGCACTGTTTTTATTTATTTTTTGTTGAATACACGACGCAAAATGGCTTCCCCAGGGACCATGCGTTCAATGGAAATGCAAATGCGAGCCAGCAGCGCCAGGACTAATTAAACTTTTAAAGAAAAGCTGCTTAAAGTTTGTTGGTTGACGGGGCTAACGCTTCCTCATCCACTCCTGGGCTACATCTGGCGCCCCTTGTGCGGCTTTTAGCAAACTGGCAGGACAAAGACAGTAAGATGTGGGGCGGGGCAGGTAAGCGTCGCCATTTATTTTCTAGCAAAAAGGGGGTGGCAGGAGCTACTGCTACACTAGGTTGCTGCCACTGCAAATAATTTATGTTTATTAAATTTATTTAAGTTTAATCAGAGTCGCGGCATTATGTTCTGGATGCGTCAGCGTAGACCGGCAGATGGGTGGGATGCTGCTTGTGCCCGAGGGGTGGTTTCTGCGAGTACGCACAAGCTGTCTACGATAGGCTGGAGTCGGGGATGCTTTTTGTGCAATTTATGTGCAACGCGTTGCCAATGTTGTTGTTTTCGTGGGCATTGCTGTTGGGTGGACCCCACCCATATCCACCTCCCAACGGCAGCCCCAGCTCCAACTTCAGAAGTGATGCCAGACAGAGCAACAGCAGTAGCTGCATAAATTGCTAATTGTGTGCTTAATCTTGGAAAATATATGGTTATCTCTATGGTTTGGCCTGCGCCGGAAAGCCTCTGCTGTTGCAAATATTATCAAGTATTAAGTGCTCACTCCTTGGGGATTAATATATTCTCATCAAATATTTCGCGCCATTATTGAAATTGTTTCTTGTTGCTGTTCCCTTTGCAGTTGGCTGCTTAATTCAACTGCCAGTTCAGGGAAATAGCATGAATTTTGGGGCTTATTGGAAAATATGGCAGGAAATTATTTGCCAAAGAGAAAACAGTTTAAGTTTATGCAAATACAAATTAAGTTGAAAACTCGGCCAAGACACATTATAAACAAAGGAATTTGGGTTTCTTTCTTCTTTTAATTTGTCCGGAGTGAAGCTACAATTTGAACTTTATATAGCTTTTGTAACGAAAGCTCACGCTAAGGAGGGGTTTTGAAAAATTCCACGCGCAAATGTGAAAAAAATCGCGAACAAACGTTAAATGAAACATATTTGTTTACCATCCAATTGGCGTCAAATTCATAATAAAATTTGTTTGATCAAATGCTCTGTTTTTAATTTCATCGACTTCAAAATCATTTACATTTATATACAGTATGTAAGCTATGGCCATAAATATGGAGTTAATATAGTGCGCATAGACCAAACAAGGCCGGAAAATACCAGCTAGTTTAATATTAGCCTTTAACAAGTATTTCGTATATTTATGTACATATATATACATATATAGCTTGGCTACAATCATCATCTTCTGGCAAAGATTGTATCTAACACGTTTACACACTTTGCGATTTCAATCCTGATTTTAATACTATTATGAAGCTTTATATTTTTGTAATATATTGAATATGTGCCATCTGTAGATTTGTCGTCAATTATCGATGCCCAGTTTCAAGGAATATACTGTAAAATAATAGTCTCCATCTGGTTCTTAAAGACATGGTACTGATTAGATCGTATACGCCTTCACAACTGCCTTAAAGAGGAGCTGCTACTTTCCAGCGACATACATGTATATGTCTAAAGGTTTGTGTGGGTGTGCGTGTACAAAGATACTCGCAAACATGCATAAATACATCGCTGTTTTGTTGCAAAGGAAACGGGAGCGAAAGGGAGCGAGAATAACAGCGCATAACGACAACAAAAAAAGCGAAAACAACGGCGCAATGGCAACCATTAGAGCCATTCACCCTTACTGTCTTTATGGCATTTTTAATCTCGTGGGTGGTTGGCTGTCCCAGCACCACCCAAATGCCCACCCAAGCCCACATCTAAGAGCGGGATGAAAACGAAGACGAGGTCGCAATTTTTTGCACGCACTGCAAACACGGGGGTGTGATAAGACAAAATACCCGCCGTAAATGTGAAATATATATGGCCAGAAGTTAAAAGGAAAAACGGGCCACCACCCAAATGCTGTACTCAATAGTGCACAACTAGGCGATACCCTATAGCCAGCTTCGAGATGGCGTGACAAGCATATGAACTTTTTCAAATACATATAATCAAGCACTCCTTCCGCAAGCTGCACACTTTCTATAATGGATGTGCTTCTTCTTCGATTTCGGTGCCCATGATCCTTTTGCATGCACAAGCAAGTACCTAAATTCTAAAAGAAGCTTAGCTGAAAACTAATATTTATTTTGATCTGCGTATGGTATACAGATATACATATACTTAAAACTTGAAGTATTTAGCTTTAAGACTCTGGTACTGAGCAAGAAAACATGCAATAATTCCTTCTGCCTGTTACATAAAGTTGAATAAAACCGTTATACCCCGTTTACATTTGGTACAGAGTAAAAAAAAGCAAAAGCCTTGCTAAAGGAGGCGAGCAAAATGAGAGGGCGACCGTGCCCATGAAAGGTACGATAAATTTGTTGGCCTGCCCAAGGGGAGTGCGAACTAATTTTTAGCAGACGATGCGAGGCAAGACAGGCAGGCCTGATTCCATTCGGGCAGCTGGAACATTTGTAACGATGGCCGATAAATAGCATTAGGCGTCTAGAATTGGTAATCCGCAAGATTTTTGCCAATGACGGCCTGCCTGTGCTTGACAGCTGTCATTACTAGTGTTGTTGCCGTAGACGCAGCTTCCGGCCACGCGTTGCCAACTGACCGCAACTTAAGCACACTCAATTTATGTATATGTGTGTGTGTGTGTGTGTGTTTGTGGTGGTGGTGTGAGTGTGCCCCAATTTAATTGCAAAAGAAAGGGGTTTAATGCGCATCAGTTGTGACTAAAATCACTGCGAATCGACACGACAATCAACTGTCATTCAATGATGGCAACAAAGTGTTACCCAGAGTGTGTGTGTGTGTGTGTATGTGTGTGTGTGCATCTATCTGTGAGTCTGTGTAGGTGTGGCTGGGTCATCAACACTTTTCGGTGCCTTTGTCTGGATGTCGCAGCCGCTATGACGAAGAAAAGGAGACCAACAACAACGGCAATAACAACGAAACACAAATATATAACGAAAAGGTTCAACAGCGACTGCAATTGGCCTCGTCTTGCCCTTTGGACGCCTCATTGGGTTTCAGCAAAGGCGAAGAAATTGAATTGAAATTGATTGCCTTCATTGGGTAGTTGTTGTTGTTATTGCTCTGGCTGTGGCTGTTGCCAGGTTCATTTGTGCGTTCTATGAACCTTGGCAACATTATATCGACTTTTATTGAAAACACATATAAATTGCGCCAACCGATTTGAAGTGAGAAAAGTGCGCAGTCTCGAGTATTCCCGATGCGTTTACGGCCCACCGCACACAATGACATCGATATCGACATTGTCGCAGTAAAAAGTCCACTCTCTTCAATCCCCATCCCAGGCAACGCACGGCAATCGCTGTTCCTATTTGGTAAAAACAAACACGAATTACGAATTTCTATTTCGACGAGCAACTTGAGCAGATGTCGACAATAACTTAAGTTGCGTGGGCTCTGCCATTTCGACTTTAAACGATGACGTATTAAAATACCATTCCAAGAGGGGGGACGCGTCCCCCAGTTGCTCTATCAGCCGTTCCTCTGCCCTTCAGAAACGTGACATTTTAATTCGTATAAAAAGCATCAATCGATCGATGCATTTGCTGCGGGTTCTATATTTACCTAGCTGTACATAACTCATGCTTAGCTTCCATTCTTATACCCACTCCCATTTCAGGATCCATTCCCGGACTCCGGCCTGTCGCATAGAAATTTCAATGTGCGTTGGCTGCCGTCCCGCAGCGCACAATGCTCGTAACTTCATATTGTCGGGGGTTCCCTCTCTCGCATTGGGTTTGAGGTGTGGTCCTGTCTGCTTCTGGGACTCACTCACCCACACACCAAAACTAACACTCACACACACACATACACTCTTCACAAAGGTTCCCAAATTGATGTCTGGTAAATTGGATTGGTAGTATAACGACAGCAGACCACAAACATCGCTGCAGCTCAAACTTGAATACATTCGCCCATTTTCTAATTTTCTTCAACGTTCGTTACCTGTCAAACGTGATTAATGACTTACAGATACACACGAAATTGAGAGTGTGTGTGAATGTGATAGTCGCACGAAGTTCTTTGGTATTGGCTGTTTTTTTTTTTTAATGGTGAACCCAGAACCCTTTTGTTATACCCTTGATTGTTTGCACCCTTCAGATTCTTGCTTCATGATCAAATTACAAAAATGAATACAAAATATATTTGTACATACGTCTACATACATGTATATATGTAAAAATGAATGAATGTTTGGAAGTGTTGTCAAAAATTATTGAAATGGCTTCATTAATGGCACAAGAAAAGTTGTTGAGCGTCTTTTAATTACAAATGATTTTCTCAATTATAAAAATGAAAATAACAAGTTTTAAAGGGAGGTTTCGAAAACAATGCATAAGCATAAGCCTGTTATTTATAGCCGTCCAGTTTCCTGGATGATATTTCCTCAATGCTAAACCGAAATAAATACGCTTTACATTCGACTTCACTGTTTGTTCATAAAAAAAAATAAAACTTAATAAAAAGTATACAAAAAGTGATTGTTAAGCAAAAAATATAGGCGCAGACCGGTTGGTTAGTCAATCTGTAGAACTATACGAAAGTCTGATTAATCAATGATACACAAGACAAGAATGCTTTTATGAGTATACGTGTGCTGGCCACATGGTAAATGTGCGGAAATTTTGAATATTTCTGTCCGATATAGTGGTCCGACCCATCCGATAGACAGACCTATCAAAGTTTCAGAACAAAAATTTAATTTGGGAGCTCTATTTGAATAATCTCCTATAATCTCAACAAATTGGATGTCTCCAGTTTTTGTGCATTACAAGAAATACCTCTTTGCTAAGCCCATTTTAATTTTAATGAAAATCAACCATTTTAAAATATATTAAAGTTGTACGCAATCAGAACTGAGAATGATTATTTAAAAAGCCGTGTGTAACATAAATACAAATATTATGCTATTAATAAAGTTTGAAATCGTTTCGTGTTTTGTATTATGTATCTGTTTCTATAGCATTTAAATAATATATCAATTCAGTGATAGTGTTTAGCATGACAATTTAAGGCCACTCGATTTTTTTCAACTCACTCAAAACTAATTTTTATTGCTAGATTTGGTATGTACACACATTTGGATGTCATGGTTATGCCTTACATATTTCTAAGGGATCGGCAATTAAACACCGAAGTTAATTAGGATTTCAAGCGAGCATACTCTAGAGCTTAACCTGCGCCGCAAGCCGCACGTGACCTTGTGTGTACATTAAATTGTACATTGGATCAAAAACAACATACATTTTGATGACAATACAGTTAGCTTAGATGATGTTTCGCCCAGGCTTTGTATGCAATGTCTATGTGCTTACGCATGTATGCCTGGAAAGAAGCTTGAATATCTAGCAAGTCTACTCAGTCAAATTCTTTTTTTTTTCTATTAATAAACAAAAGCTTGGCATATATTGCGCCTGCTCTGAACAATTATAAGTGGAATTACCCATTAGTTGCTGTTATATATGTAAATGTTTATTTTTATATGGCTCATATCGCTAACGATAATGGCAGCAATCGCATCTCAGACACACATAATAAAAATTAATCTCTCATATTAATGACAACAACTAAAACAATTGCAGAGTGCATTAACCGGCGTGTATAATTTCGTAATGAAATTTATATTAACGACTTCTTGCACTAATTAATGTTGGCTGCCGCGAAGGCCCAACAACAATTACAACAGCGAGAAAGCCACAAGCGGAATGGAGATCGTCACGCAGAGTGCGGAAAATGGCTGGGAAATGCAGTGGGACACGCGAGGCTTGAAAAACGACTCAGCAAAAGTTGCACCTAATACAAAATGGCAACAACAAAAACAACAGCAATTTGCTTAAATAAAAGTAATAATAAAACTATGCAGCGGATTTAACTAAATTCAAATAATAATTAAAATTAATTAAATTACAAAAGTTAGCGTCGAGAATTTGTGACATGTGCGAGCGAATGAATAAACTCCAAATGGTAATAAAAGCGATGGGAGGCGAAAAGGTGTGAGTGTGTGTGTGTGTGTGAGAGAGAGAGAGAGTGTATGTGTGTGCGAGTGTGAGTAATATTGTCTGTGGAACGTGTGCGCTTTTAATTTGATTTCGTCTGCAAATTTACATGAAATGGTGCAGGACGGAACGCCAGCCTCCGCCTGTTTGTCTGCCTGGCTCTCGTTTTGACCCCCAGTTGCCCACTTACCCCGCCAGGCAGACAGCGCCCCCGTGCTCTCCTGCCCCATGTAATTCAAACTCTTTCGCCAATTTGCGCCACTTGGGCATTAAAACCGCAGATTAACAGCCACACGGGGTAGTTAAAAACTTCATGCTGGCGCAGAGCGACGGAGGGTGTCGCAGGGCGTCGCAGGGTGGTGCCGAGCTTCGTTGTTGTCGTTCTCGTTGCCGTTGCCTCGCACTCCCAAACGTGTCATTTCAAAATTTCTGTAGCCGTGGAGAAGAAAAAAAAATACGCCACGAAACGTGCCGATAACACGGTGTCGCACATTTACCCCGCCCCTCTTCTCGTGACACGCCCTCAAAAGGCAAGAATACGAGCGAAAGAGAGAGAGAGAGAGAGCGAAAGAACGAGAGTATGAGATAGAAAACGTCAAATGTAAATACCACAACAAAAAAATTAAACAAGAAACAACAGAAAATCGGAAATTAAACAAAACCGAAACGAAATGGAATTCGCTTATCGCGCCTCATAAATTAACCCTTACAGCGTCCGAACAGACCCGGGATAGTGGCTGTAGATGGCCCTGTCAGTTCTCCGTTTCCCGCCCACTCAGGCAACCGACCAAGCAAGACAGATAGATTGCGAGACAGAGACACACTGAAGACTGAAGAGACGAGTAAGCGTTAAGTGGTTGCTAGGGTCGGTAGGCCGTGGCCCGAAACGACGTTTATCTGTGCCGGGCAGACACGGCGGAGATGCAGATGCAGATGCATACGCTATAGATCCGGAGACGCGTTCAACCCACTGTTAATGACATTGGCATCCGCTGTGGCTGGATCGAAATTGTAATCGTAACTGAAATTGAAATTGAAACAAATGCATTGTGCTGTGGATTGGGTCGCTTTGACAGTGAAGCGATTGAAACTAAAACTCAGACACTTCGATACGGATTGAGACTAAAAACTGAACTGTTGCGATTGTCAGTTTGATTCAATGCCGCCCCAGTGCGACCCCCAACCCTGACGCGATCGCTTATCATGAGTTATGATTATGGCATGTTAAATTAATAAAATTAATGAATATTATTGCTTAGCGCGCCTTACGTGCATATACCACAATAAAGGTGATAAGGCAAACCACATAAATCTCTGAACTTGTATATAGCCAGCCTGGAGTCGATCCAAGGACAAAACTCCACCCCATCCTCCATGGTAATAATATTACTAAATGAGCCATCAAGGAATGGGACGTGGATACGATCTATATATATATCGCTTTCTTTTCTCCCTATCCCTCACAAAATTTGAGAAGCTAAAAACGAAAATCTTAAAATATTAATTACAATTAGTGACTTTTCTTAACGAATACTTTGCCCCTACAACTATTCAACAGACGAGTTAGGTAAATAAATGTATAGATAAATATCGAATTCCGTCTTCTAAGTCGATTCCAGCACGATTGCAAATAAAAAATATAAGTAATTTAGACCAAACGCTCAGAAGTAATTATTCACATCTGAGGACAAATTGGAATGAAAGCGAGTTAATTACTTGTCAAACAGCGGCTGTTAGTGTTGTAAATTGCGCAAATGACTCCGACAATGCTCCCATGGCACCCACAGTGATTTATTTACAGAGCAAACAAACGAAGCCAGCGGCGATCGGAAGAGGGGCAGGGTAAGCCAACTCGAATATCAAACGATCTGTGAAGCTAAAAGCCAAGCTCTGGCACGTACACAAGCCGCCGGGGTTTTGTCTGCCTCTGCCACGGTTCCCCGTCAAATCCGACTCTTATTTCGGCTCTGTTGCAGCTGAAGCTGCCAGACTGCCTGGGCTCCATACTTGTTTAAACAGCGCCAATTTCACGTCTTGCAATTACATGCCACCGTCGGAATCAAGAGCATCAGCTCAGAACATACAGTTTGACATTCTCTGCGTATGCGCAATGTGACTGTCAGTTAGGAAGTAGACTGCTTCTACTACGTACTTAATTTAAATTAAGTGTACTAGCCAATTTATGACCGCATTTACATTAAGGATTTCCACCTAATAAATCATTTGAATAGAATTAGACAAGGAACTACTTTATCAAGTGAATAGCATCGAACTAAATAGACTGAAGCAGAGCATATGGACAATACTATAATCAAAACCAAATCATTTATGTATTTCAAATACTCGATTTGTTCTCACATTTATGTTGCTTTATATGTCCCAATTATCAACTAATTGAACCAATGGCTGCAACAAAATTGTTACGTGTCACATATAAACCGAATCGAATGGCGGGCGCAGTCGTTAATCTTTTTATGACTCCCATTGTGTACGATCGTGAGCTGGTGAGCTACTTGTGTTTGTTGATGACTGTTCTTCTGTATTAAGATACTTGCGTTTTATAGACGATGTCGTTGAACTAAGTAATTAAAGTGGATTGCATAGCGGCTGCCATCTGGGCCACATGGAGGCAAGCTTGAAAGCTGCCTAAAGTCTCCCCGCATATTGTCGGGCAGCATAAGCAACGCCATTATCGCGCATACTTATTAAGCAGCGATCATTTCGGTGCTCAGAGTGGAATCAGAGACGAAACGTTGCGGTAGCCAAGGTGATCATCATTATGCGTGACGCAGGACCATGCGTAAAATCGTAAATAGATCATAAAATGCTCGTAAAATTAATTTAACGACAAGAGCATCAACTACAGGCGTAACAGAGAACGCTTCACGATCTACGCTAACAATCAAATCGATCAATCGAATTTGCTTGAGTAAAATCAAATCGAGTCGAGTCGAGTCAAGTCGAGTTGAGTTGAATTGAATTACACTCTCTTTAATGGCTTACTATTTGGCGCCTCGAATTTGTGAATTTGGTTACGTACCCAATTCAGATTCGGCCATTGTTATGGGCATCACATACATGGACCTGGTATTTTGGGGGGCCTGGGTGCTTCCATTTTAATAAGCCGAGAGCGGCGATCAGTCTATCAAAGTGATTTATGATCTTACCCGACACTTGACTCGCATGCCATATTGGCACTATAATTTCTGTTTGATTATCTTCCCCTGCCAGTAACTTTCACAGTTTCACAGTGCCTGCCAGTTGCCGGATGTTTCCATTGTTGTGTGAAAGATGTTAGCCGGAAAATGACTTCAATAAACAAACGATCGCACTAGGTATGCAATAGGATTCAAAAGATTGAGCGCAGGATTTATGACAGGTCGCTGTAAAAGTCACAGTCACAGTCAGCAGGAGTGAGCCTTGTGACGAATGAAGCGAGAAGGGTTCAGCTGCACATGGAACACTCGTCGGTACGCAGCAGGTAAACATGGTTCAAGGACAGTCCGATGTAAAAAAGAAAATTATGGAAAAGGCTAGACGCAGCCGTTTTCCATACTTCATAATTCATATTTATGCATATAACCCATTGTCCAATGCCATTCGATGGATTTTTTCAAGGGTTTCGCTCACTAAGTGCTTTATTGGCGGTACTTACCATTAAAATCGCCACAAACGACACGCTCAAAGGGACTTCCCATCCAATCTGTAAAAAAGGAAAAGAAAATTGTTGAGTTTTTTAATGCATGTCATAAAAAGTTAGTGAAGGTTGCATATGTCTAATTGCGCGTTTAGCCTTGAGCATGATAAAAGAGATCTAACTACACATGGATCACATGCACACACTCACACATGGTTCCCTTTCCCTTTTCGCATTCCAATGACCTAGCTGTAAGTCTTTCTATAAGTCTTTGCCTTTTACTCAAGCAAGCCACTCAATCAAAGCATTTTAAACTTAGCTGTCAGCTCTGTGTGCAAAAAGCGAAGCCACTGCAATTCCCAAGGTCCGGACCACCAACAAAGTGGCCAATAACCAGTGACCAGTGACCAGTGACCAGTGACCAGTGACCAGTGCACCGTGCACAGTTGAACCGGCTCCATCCAAAGTGGACCACGACGACGACGTGACGCCTAATTAATAAGCAGATGAAGCTGTTCGGCGTCTAGCCTGGCGCGTTTTTAATTAAAATACACAAATTTCAGTGCAGTTGCCCTGTCGCTGTTGGCATTTTATGGGACAAACAGACAATCTCTAATATGTATGCATGTCTGCATGTATATATGTTGTATGTACAAATTCGCCAAGTCGCCAAGTCGCCAAGACTCGTAGAAGGTAGGGGCTCTGAGTAGGGTAGGGCATGGGTTATTTTGTCGCTTAGTGATTCCAGAATTTATATGTACGCATACATAAATTAATTCAAGTAACCAGTTTTCAGACTCTCCTTTCTCTCGCTCTTGTTCTCTTACTTGATTTCTTTAGCTCTGCTGCACGTAATGCACTTGGAAATTCTAATTTTCTTGAGCCCCCGCCGTCTCTATTCGCAGATGTTGCCTGCATATTTTGAGTCGCGCTTGCATCGCTTTTCCAGATAATTAAGAAAAGTTAACCTCTTTGCTTTCTTATCAGCATAATCAGGCACAGCAGCTACTCGTCTCACACCCTGGCCGTAAGCAAAGCTACATGGCTGCAACATTGTAGTTGTTGTCTGTTGGCTGGTTGGTGCAACGATGTGAAAATGAAAATTCATTCAGACGCCTTGGCGTAAAATATTAAAATTCATTAGTTAAATTGCATTTGGCAAGCATTCAGCTGTAAAACGGTGCTGTGCCCGCTGCTGCGTCCGGGTCTGGCTGGCTCTGTGCTCTGTGCTGTGGCTCTGGCCACAGAGCGAGAGCGAGAGACAGAGAAGAAGAGAGAGGGAGAGGGAGAGGGAAAGGGAGAGAGAGAGAGAGAGAGAAAGCCAATGCTTAGTGGAGAAAGAGTCGGTATCGGGGCAAGAACGACAATGTTGCCTATGTCTTGACATGGACTCTGGCTGCGCACTGCCCCGTCTGACGCTCTCTCTTTCAACTGCATATGCATTGTTGTATGAGTGTGTTGGTTGCCTTTGTGTGTGTGTGCGTGTGTGCGTGTGTGGCTGCGACGATATGTCGCGCACTTGGCTGCCATAATGGCGTCATGCTCATATTTACTTTCATCGCAGCCAGTCGTCTATGATCTCGTTGACAATTTTATGCTGTGGTGCTGTGAGCTAAAGATATGCAAAATATTTCATTGTGCGAAATACCGTTTATCTTCTAGTCGCAGCCAGTCCTACGGGTTTCCGAATACTCGATTTGTCTTGTTTTTATACAGAATACTACAAGTTAGCTATTTAGATGCGATAATTGGCTGTAACTAGAACTTTTAGTATCGAACCTGACATTTATATATATTTTAAAACATTATTTTAAATAAAACTTAGATACTGGATCGCAATTCTCTGTTTGATTTCTTAAATGCACAACACCTAATGTACATAAAATAGGTAAGGAATATAACGATAAAGAAAAATTGAATTTTTTGTCTGAGGCCGACTAACCCATGGAAATATTGCTATAAATATATAATATAATCGCAAATGATATCCTATTTTTATCTATAATCTCAGCTGAAAGATAAGCTGCTCCATTATTTATGCGATTCTCAAAAATGGCGAGTGATAGCGAGTTTATAAATCAGTCTAATTGGTAGTATGTATATTCATATTGTGGATGCCATAATTCACAAGCCATTCAACCGCAATCGAGAGGAAAAACTGAACATACTGCGCGCATTATAAAGAAAATCGTGTTGATGCAAATGCGGAGCAATAAATAAATATATCAACTGTGCAAAAAGGCGATGCAAAGCAAGGTTCGCGTAAATTAAACTGACCCACATAAATTGCATGCGAATACTGTACTACGTTTAACGCATAAAAAGAGATCAGTAGCACCACCACAGCCAACACCATTGAAAGCCCAACAACGACAACAACGGCAATAAATGAAAAAGCAACCACTCACATGGCAACGAAAACAATATGTATCTGTATCTTTTGCCGAGTATCTGACGCTGAGTGATTGCCAGTTTTGTATGCGCGGGGGCACATCTAAGCATGTGTTTGTGTATGCTGGTATGCGCTGTTTGTGTGTGTTTATGTGTGTGTTTGTGGCAACCTTGAAGCTATTTAAATTACAAATCGACGAGTCGCTTCAAAAAAAAAAAAAAATAACACAAAACACAAAAAACAAAAAACACAACACATTTTTCAACTATTTTCATTTTTATTTACTGCCGCCACTTTTTAGCTCTCTACTCGTCAGTCTATTTGCCAGTTTCAACGTCATTTCACCCATCCGTCCGACCAACCGTCCGTCTGTCCGTCTGACCGGCCGTCCGCCTGTCGCCGTCAAGAAATAATTTTGTAGTTCTTATTTGGCGGAAGACTTATGCGAATCGAACGACTTGAAAATGCCCCACAAAATGTTTATTATGAATTTTGAATTGGCTCAGAACGAGCGCATTTATCTATTGTTTATACGCCCGAATGGCCATAAAGGTATACATTAAATGGGCGAATCCCCGGGCAAATTGTTTGCCTCCCCCTACCGCTTCGTGGCGTTGATTTATGCCTAATTTAATAGAATTTTTACGTGCTCCAATGATAAATAAATTGGTTTTTAACGAGCCAAAAACCAACGTCTGTTGGCAAACTTCTCGTTGACTCTACTGACTCACCTGTGAGCGTCATCCACGGATAGCGGGGTAGATCCGCAATACTCTGTCCTGCGCCGCCAGCTCCCGGTACCACGCCGGATGCGGGCTGTGTACAAGCGTTGCCCAGCGAGTCCACGCCAATGGCTCCTGCGCTGGCTGCGGACACCGCAGAGGCAGCCGCGTGCTGATAGAACTGGGCAAAGCTGGCGGATGCCGAGGCAGGTACGCTCATCGACTGGTAACTGTTCATCACTGTGTCCGTGTACCTGCTGGTAAGGCGAGAGAAAGGAAAAAAAAAAACGATAGACAATTAGCATATTCGTATGTACGTGTGCCTGTGTGTGAGAAACACCATCCCGCCATAAAAGTCACCAAGTCAGATGCTAATGAGCCACACACAGCGGCCTGTGGCCTGTGACTTTACCGGACCCACTTCTGTACTACAACAACTGTAGTTACGTCTAATTTGTCACTAATTCCGTAAACGATACGCCCGCGGCGAGGTCCCAGCTCTTGCTCATGGGCGTATGCAAATGGCCGCAGCGGAAGGTCAATGTGCGTGCGAATCTTGTGGCCTGCGACAAATTACCAGCAGGCACCACCGCAGTGCTGCTCTAATTTGCCCAGTGGCTTTTTGAGAACTGTGGTCCTTAATAGCCACTCGATGAATGGTCAGTGGAATAGTCGATAATTAGAGCATATTCAAAATGGATTTGCGGTTAGCCAATGCGGGTTCTGGTTTCGGCTTGGCCGGGTCGAATATGTTAAGTTGTTTTGACCTAACCGTAAATAAAACTAAACATTTCTTGCTGGATGTGCCTGAGTGGGCCAGTCCTGGAGGCAACTGACCTAATAGTAATAATATATAATCTGCATTTGTAATACTGTTTATCGTGACTGATTGATTTGTGATTATCGCACAGCCCAAACTGAAAGTGATGTTGGGTGATGATTTGCGATCAAACTCATTTCTAAGGATCTATATGAAAATTCATTTGGGACTTAAACTACAACAGACAGAACGCGTTGATCCCAAGTTTTTTTTCTTAATGCGGTGGATCTCACACCCATTATCAAATGGCCAAGTAGATCTAGTCATGTCCGCCCGTGTGTCTGTCGATCTCATAATCTATAAGTGCTACAGACTTGAAATTTTAGACGGTAATCGATAGCTTGTCCTATTTCAATGTACGCGGTAAGAATCTATATCAAAAGTCTATCCATTGAGCCTAACTAGTAGATGCTAAGCTAGAGCCTACTAATTTTTAGCTAGCCTGGGAGTAGGTTACGAGGCGATAGCCCATTTTTTTAAATAATGCGACTGCATGATAACGGTTACCCACGTTAGGTAAAAAGTCCAGAATTGTATTTTCTTGGCTTAAGTATGGGCGGAATAGTGTTTGTGTATGTACACATGTATATATGAATGCATGTGTGGCTAAATATTTATGTTCAGGGTTACGAGCACAAAGATAATCGAACGTATTAATTTATAGATCGATCTTTTGTACTATACAAAAATAGTATGGCGCCTTAGTCGGGAGTGACCGGAAGATTGATTCCTTGAACACCATTTTGAGCTGCCGTCACAAACATTATGGCTTCCTTCTACACATGCATACACATAACCACGCATACACATATGCTTGCTGCGCTGCTTCTTCCCTTGCCCTTACACTGTGAAAATTTCTATCGTGATTTACTTGAGTGTTTATTGTCCGGTGTTGATTGTCTATGAAATTTTGATGAAGAATCAGTCTGGCATCCAAATGTGTGTAAGAACCAACGAAATAAACCCGTACTAGGAGGTCCTCAATGGGTTCAGGGTATACAAAGTTGCATACAAGAGCTTCTTTCACGTCGTTCTACTTTATAAGTGCATTTTTCAAAGCAGCCAAAAATTATTTAAGGAAACAATGAAGTTTCAGTCAGTCAGAGTAAAAAGATTTTCATGAGGCTATAAGAGCAAACTATTTTTAATTATCCGAAATCTGATTCTTATAGAGAGCTGATGTAAGAAACATGGCGGCCATAAACGAATCCATTGATCTGATCTTCTTTAAATTGGCTTTTCAATTAAGATGTGAAGTAAATATGATATCGATTAGTAAATCAAAATATCGATTAGTGTATAGTTTTTCCTTAAGATATCATCAAGAAAACATATCTTTAAATGGATTCTTGCCGATTTGGTGAAAACGATACGAGGTTTCGAAGTTTCGAAATAAACTTGATTAACAGCAGAATCCAAGTTCCAAATTGAGAGTTACAATTTTGTATAATCTGATATGTACGGTTGTTCTTGAAGACGGATGATTATTCAGATGCCTATTTATAATAACTAAGAAAATATATAATTTATAGGAATGGTTTCTTCTACCCAACACATTAATTTTCAAAAACAAAGCAAGAGACTTGACACTTGGTGTTATCTAGAGATCAGTTGTAAAACCCTGGAACTTTTGGCTTGAAGATATTTTGAAGAAAGTTGCCACATACGAGCGCTTTCGGGAACAGTTAGTCGGTATTAAAGTCAAAATACTTAAAATTAATGGATATTTTACTAAACTCACCTGCAGGATTTGTCTTCCAGGCCCGAAAAGCCTGGCATGCCGGAAAGGCCACCATGGCTAGTGGGATGATTTGACACGTAAGGGTACATCTTGCTGGTGGGTATGGCAAACGAAGAGCTGGCCGCAGGAGAGGGCGAAGAGCTGCTGTCGCCGGTCTGTGAGTTGCCCGCCGAAGGTGGCGTCAGCAGCAGCTGCTGATGGGCGTGGCTCAGCGACTGATGGCCACCAAGACCGGAGACGGATCCTTGCGAGCTTACCGCAGCTGCAGCGGCGGCTAATTTGTTGATGTGCTGCTGCTGTTGCAGGTGAAGAGCGGCCGAAAGAGACGAGTACTGCGACTGTTGCTGCTGCGCGGTTGATGAGGGCGAAGAAGAAGAGACGGGCGAGTTAGACGACTGGCTCAAATGTTGTTGATTAAGCTGGCTGCCGAGCTGCAACGCACTGGAGCTAGGTGACAACGAGGACGATTGCAAATGGCCGCTGCTATGGCTGTTGCTGGCACTGCTGCCCGGATGAACGCCCGGCGACGAGACACTGGATGCGGAGGCGGCGGCTGCGGCAAGGGCGGCGGCAACTGCTGCTGATGACGAATTTGGGGGGGTTGTGGTTAAGTGCGAACTGATAAATGGCTGAAACTGTGGGTACTTTGGCAGCATACTATCGAAAACAAATTTTGACATTGCACATATTTTTCTCTGGCCGAGAATTGCCGAATTTCGTCGGAGTCGATTTAGTTATTGTCTTAGTTCATTTGGATGATGCCTGACTTGATGTCCATGTGCTTAATGTTTCGGATTGGCATTCACGCTTATGGATACAGCTTTTTTTTTTACTCTGAATCGATGGGTAAAACTTGAGGGTACTTTTTCATTTGTGTGTTTGTGTGTGCTCTTTAACAAATTTGGTTCGAATTCAGCCAACAAATGGTGGTTTTCTTATGGCGCTTTTCGGAGCGTTATCTTGTTTACTAACACTGGAGTTTCACTTGCCGAAGAAGGTAACAGAAAGGTCGTCGACCTTATGGGAGAAGTATTCTAATAACAGCAGAACCCTTTAAATGATAATTCAATTCTTGCTATCAAAGCTCGTACTCATACGATTTAGCTGACGGATTATCACATATCAGACTTTCACATATCAGACATAAAACAAGAAACCATTCGAATACAATAAATAATAAACTAAAAACGAATTGTTTTTAAATGCCAATTGAAAGACAGAAAAGTAGTAGTAACACTGCAACCACAATAATACATAAGTGTTTATATATTTATATACATATGTGTTTATATATGTTTTAAGACAATTTATGTCTACTGTGTGGAATGTTCCAATTCCAAAATGATCAGTTTTGGCAATTTGAATAAACTGATCATATCTGAGTAAATTAATGAAAACGCACTTAAAGGATAGCAAACCAATAAAAACAGAAATTATGCTTTTTAGCTCTGGGAATATGTTTAAATATATTCTGACAAAATAAAACAAGAACGGATAGGTTTTCTATAACACACATAAAAAGCACAATAACTAAATGGAATATCTTCAGTCGCGAATTAATGCTCAGCTGAGTATGACAGGAAACACCAAGTCAACATTTATATATTGGAGATCACATCCAAGGAATTCTGAACTGGAGCATCCAAAGTGCCAAAATCCAACCATTTATATTCATTCAATGTTCGTGCACAATGCCAAAAGGTTAGTAGATTCTACATTAATTTAAGACAAAGTTAGTAAGTTTCTGGTATTATTGCATGAAGAACAACGTGGTCAGGAATTAGGGGGGAGAAAGATATTGTTACAGGGATAGCGTGCCAAGAATTACATATGCCATATATCCAGAATTATTTTTGTATTCGGGAAAAGAGATATTGTAAAAACGGGTTTTACCTTTCGATTAGCGGCTCTCAGCTGAGTTTTGTCTAACAAAATTGCAGTTTGTTTGGGTTGTCGCTGGCATGAAAATATCTGTTTAGCGTTTGGCGAACAATTTGTGCAACGCGTTTCAATTGAAAGTGTTGCAAAGTGAATTCGCAACGAAATTTGTTAAATTTTGCATATGTATTCAGTTGCACTTGCAGCTGTTCCAGTGTTCCCTGTGTGTGTGCATGTGTGCATGTGTGCGTGTGTGTGGTTATGTGCGACGTTTATTTGTTGTAAAAGTAATTAAACTGCGGCCATCAATTACACGGAAAATACTCGAGGCGCGGTCCGCCGTCGCTTGATTTATAGGCGCGCGATTTTTAATGGCTGCGACGGCACTTGGCACTTGGCACTTGGCACTTGTCTTGTTCGGGAGTTTCGAGGGATCGGGTCAACTGGGGCGTTATATTTTATGGCCTTGGATTTTCTTGCGATGATTCACCGTCACAGTTTTCAGAGCGTGGGCGTTGTGGTAGAAAGTCCCGACGCGTCTTTTTTACGACCTTTCGAGTGCGTGTGGCAAGCTATAGTCGATGGATAGTTGTGGCAGGGAGATCAGCTTTAATTGCTTTGTTTTAAATGGCATAAAACACTTTTCCCGGCTCAAAGGTAAGTGAAAATGATCGAGTTGAGCGTTTACGACTTTACGACCTTTTAATATTTATGGGAACTCATTGTTGTGACAGTTCTGTATTTGTTTTTGTTCACGCACAGATTACTGATTAACGATCGCCAATAAGTGATTACCGCTTACTGCAAATTGAAGTTGGAGTGTTAAGTTTTTTGCTGGTTGATAAATTGCTATTTTGATTGATAGTGTGTGTGTGTGTGTGTGTGTAAATATACTTGTGATTAATTTCGTGGCTGCTGCCGGTGATTTTAACGCGCGCTTCGTGTCACTATAAGCCGCACTATAAAGTCCGTAATAAGCGGCAACAGTTTAACGACAATAAGAATGCCACAAAATAATAAACAGAGCGATTGCGAATGCGAATGCGAATGCGAATGCGAACGCGGGGCGAGACAAATCGAATCGGATCGGAGATCGGCCAAGTGAAGTCAGGCCAAGTCGAGCCGAGCTGAGTTGAGTTGAGCTGCGAGCGCTGTTCCGCAGACACTACTGCGCGCCACGATAATAAATATTATAATAAAACGAAATTTTTAAAAGAGTATAAAAATTTCGTGTAATTGGTAATTTTTGCTGCCGGCGCTGGCAGCGACGCAAACAGCGCAGCACTTGGCGACTGCGGCGACAGTGGAGAGTTTGGGTTTGAGTTTGTCTGTCTGTCGACGTCTGACTGGGGTTCTGCGACGCCCGCGCTGTTGGATCGCTGTCTCCGCCTCGATGCCGGGTACGGGTACAAGTGGGTGCGGGTCTTTGCTGCTGGCGCTGTGTCCGCGTCGGCCGTTGTGGCGTTACGAGCAGCGAAACGTTTATGGCGCAATACAAAAGCCATGCGAGGCTGAGGCCGCAGCTTTGGCCACGCAGAGGCAGTGTCGCCGTCGCCCAGTCAGCAGCAATTCATTTCAAGCGCTGCGCTTAGTCTCTCACACACACATGCACACGCATTTACACGCAAATATGCAGTCAATAGTCTCGTGTCTCTGTCGACGCCGACGGCACAGCGATGGCAATAAGCAATAGGATCTCATAGATGTTTGTCTCGCTCGCTCTCAGCGTATCGCAATAAAACGTTAACAGCAGCAGCACCAGCGCACCAGCAACAGCAACAGCAGCAGCAGTTGCTCTTGCTTGTCGTGTACATGTGTGCAGGAACGAATGTGTATGTGTGTGTGTATGCATGTACTCAAGCATGATGGCCGTTCAGTTCGAGTCGGAGACAACGCCAACTGAGCGTAATTGAGTGCAAGAGCGAGTTTGAGTGCGTTTTTCGAGTCTTTTTTTGTGTAGCATTTTCCTATACGATTTCTGGTTTTTTAGTGCGCGCCCAATGGATGCTTAATTTTGATGTTTATAACGTGAGAATGCGAATGCGTATGCGCTGAGCGCCAACACCAAGCACACACACAGCCACAGCAATTGCCACAACAAACCAAAAGTACAACAACTGATGAGCGAAACTATCGCTTTGAGTGCAAGTGCTTAAGCTCTGCGCGAGAGCGAGCGAGTGAAACGGCTTCTTAAGTGTTTTATGCTTTGTTTGGCAAAATGTTATTGTTGCTTAAATTATTTTGTATTATTCATGTTGTTTATATCTACAATTTCTTGTTTCTTGTGAGCGGTGTGCTTGTGTGTGCCACATGTGACAAAATCGCGCCAAAAAGCGGGAAAATGTTGTTGTCGGATCTGAGACATTATGGGTCGGCATATTATGTTTGGAGCTTTCAGGGTTTTGGGTCAGAATAGCAAGAGGTTTCTGCACAGACATACAGCTACATATGTACTTCGCTGCGTTTTTTAATAAAAATTAGTGTAAAATTTAGTCACTACAAATTTTTATTGCTATTTTTTATTGTACGCATAAAAATTCGCAAGGGCTCTTTATCTTTCTCTCTCTCTCTCTCTCTCTCTCTCTCTCTCTCTCTCTTTGGCATCTTTTCCCACTCTCTCCCGCTTACATTAAACTCAAAGTTGTGAGTGTATGTTGTTCTTACCCTTAAGCGAAAATACGAAAAATCCATAAATTTCAGAGATGAAAAACGCCGACAGAGTCCAAAGTCAGTTCATTTTGTAGTTGCTGTTATCGTGTTGTTTCTGTATTCTACCATTGTCGCTGAAATTGCTGTTATGACATTTTTATGAAAAATTTGAAATTTACGATCGGACAACAAGAGTACATTTCTCGATGGGAATTTGTTTTTTGCACGAAATTTATGCGGAAATGAAACGAATTTGTAATTTGCCAACTTGGCCACTTGCTGGATGTCGGGACTAGGGACAATGGCCCATCGACTATGATTCTTGTTCGCAAACTAAGCAGTTTCCGGACACACAGAAGCTTAAAGATAAAACAGCAAATAAATTTATCCGATGCACATGAAAAAAAGTTGGCTTTAAATGTTTTCAGTGCATCAAATGTTGAAAATATATGTTATTTTTCGGATATTGCTTGGCGCTCAAATTGGGAATAGCTAAGTGACATTCGTACGACTTTCAATATTTAAAGCTGATTTTACTTGTATATTTACATACATTTTAGCATTATATTGTAGAAGATGTCAAAAGACGGTTCCAAGATATTCTGAAGACGATGGGAATACGTGACGAACAAAAAAATATGCTTTGTTACTAAAGAGTAAAATTCTGATCGATTTTTTCAATAAGAACTATATTATAAAATATTCTGATGACAGTTTAGTCAATTCGTTGCAGCAAAGAAAACTTAGGAACATAAAAAAAAATAAAGAGTGGGTCTACTGTTCTAATAGGTGAGCCTGTCGAAACACGGGACTTAATTCGGCTCCGACAATTGTGAGTTCTGTCTGCAACAAGTATAAAAGATTACTTTATGACTATTTTTATAAAGTGTTATATTTATTTAACAATTTTTTTAAATGAAAGAGACTCCAAACAGAACAGACAGAAACAAAAACTCTTAAAGTAATTTAAATTCAAATTTGTTATTCCTGATTTACATTTTCTTAGTCTTAACTTTTGGATAGTTAAATTGTGGATATATAATATAATATTTAATCGCTGATAAATGGCCAATTATTTTATATCATAATCTTTTAAGAAAGTGCCCCATCGGATCACATTGGAGTCCGGAATAAAACGATATTGGCAACTGTGAAAATAATAATTTATTAAATTAGCAAATATTTGTTATTTATTGTTATTTTAACTTGCGCAATACAAAGAAATAAAATATATATATAAGCTCATAAGCGTTTGTTGTATATTTATATTTATATATAATATTTAAAAAAATTTTTTTGTTTAACTATTTGTCGTTATGTATAGTATAGTATTTGTAAGAGTTTATTATTATATTTTATTGGTTCATTGATCGGAAACTCTTAAATTTTCTAAGTGACACCATTATTTAAAGCTTGATACATACATTAAAAAGAGTTTGTTTTTGTGTATATTACAAATATTAGATATTTTATTATCAGCCATTACACAGCTTCAATTTGAGCATCATTTTAGTACACTTGCACCATACGACAGCTGTAGTGCATTATATATATTATATACCCATCTAAGAGAAGAGCTGCCCTTGTTAAGGTTATTATAACCTTGTCGTTAAAGAAGATACCGCCGACCCTATAGAGTATAAATGTTATTTATTTGCCTTAACATATGAATCGATATAGACATGTCAGACATATTATTTCATCTGGCCTTCCAACCTTTTCTTGATTTTTGTAGTGGATTTGCCGTATTTTAGAATCACGGAAAATGGTTAATGCCGGGTATGGTTAAGATATCTTGAAAAACAATAAAGTTTTCCATACAAGAACCTACTTTTCGACCCATCGTTCCAATGGCAGCTATGTGATATATATCCGCTGTTGATAGGATCTTGCAAATATGTGGGAAGCATAGTAAATCTAATAAATGCCGAGTTTGGTCAAGGTATCATACAAGAACCTACTCTTCACCCGATCGTTCCTTTAACAGATATATGATATAAAGGCCGATCCTGCTGGTGTCGATTTAAGTACTGCGTGCAACGGAAAGAAGTACTTTTGCAAAGTTTCATAAAGATGGCTGTGTGGGAAACATACAGAAGGACAGACTCGGCTGTTGATACTGATCAAAAACATATATACTCTATGGGGTCGGAGATGTCTCCTTCTATCACAATTCACAATAAAGTTATAATACCCTCTGCAAGAGTATATAAAAATTATTCTCTGCAAGAGTAAAACACCCCACTTAATTTTTCGTTTAAATTTTTTTGTAGACAGAAAAGGACTCTTTAAGTTCCTTTTGTCCTCGACCAGTGTCAATAGCCGTAACATTATATCCGTCTAACTAGTCAAACTAGTCTCTCAGTCTATGCTGCTAACATATGATCAGAATTTGATCAAGATCAAACAACTATATTACATAGCTCCATGGAAAGAATTCGTCGCGAAAAGTGCTATATGTAAATGCTTTTGTTTCAATTCTCAATAATGATCTACGTCGGATTACTTCCTATTCACAATTGACCTGGGTATGTTTGTGTGGTCTTCGCAGTGCCGAACATAGGCGTTTTATTTTGTTTATTTAATTTCGAAATCTTTGCGCTGCCGATAAATGCTGGTCAATTGATCAATCTTTTTGCCATAAGCAATACTTTTAACGAACTGGCAAATAACATTTTTATGGCCTCCATGTCGGATCAGCTGGGGGTTCCAAAGCCCCTGGCGGCAACAGCAGCAGCAGCAGCAACAGCAGCAACTGTTAAAAATTAATTGCTTTATTGGTCATACAAGTCAGTCACAAGTTGAGCTGCTGCTGTGAGTGACTGCCACTTTGAGTGCAGTCAGATCGCTGCCGACGTGTTGTGATTTACAGCACCTGCATGCTACCGGAACGTAATGGCGCTGGGAAGGGGCGGAAGAGGTCGCCCAACGACCGGAAAATAGAAACTGGCCATTTTGATAATCAAAACAAATAATAAAACAACTTCACACGTTATTGCTAAATAACTGGGCATGAGAGCAACAACAGGGGCAACTAATCGACTGCGATATAAAAACAACAATAACAACCCGAACCTCGGCTGACGGCGCTCGCGCGCGTCATTAAAAGATAATAACCGTAATAAACTAATAAAATTGAAACTGGGTGAGAGGAGCAGCAAATAATAATAAACATGAAAAAAAATCACAATAAAACACTATTCGACGCCTGCCTTGTTCGTTCGGGCCTGGTCTTCAGCCTAGAAGGTGATGCTAGGATCGTAAACCCTGCATGTGTGTGTGACTGTGCCTGTTCGAGTGCGAGTGCGAGTGCGAGTGGGTGCAATGTTGTGTGACGTGGCTTAAAGCCGTTGAATAGGACCGAAAGAAACCATAAAATCGTTAAATCGCCGAAAGCAAAGGAGCTCGAAATCCACATGCGACAGGTTGCATCTAAAAAAACACACAAGCATAAAAAAAGCATGCAATGAAAATGAATTTGCAAATAAATTAAATTTAACAGCTAAACGATTTATTAAAATAAATATATATATTATAATATTACAAGTTCTGGTTACCTAAGTTGTCTATAGTAATTGGCTTCCGAAGAAGGAATTGGGAGTTAAAAGTCTAGCCAAAAAAAGCAGTTCAGTATGTATTTGTTACCTGAGATATAATCTCAATTGCATATAGTTGCTAGCTATTCGTGCTACATGTTCATTATTCAATTAATCCCCAGTGTAACCCTAGTCCATACATGCATTTCAACTTTAATGTTTTACTTCAGAAGCCATTCTCATCCAGGTATATACTACCCACTGTACATAGTGTATGTATCTACTCGTAAAGCAGTTTCAAAATCTTCTATATATTTCATTCACGAACATTTACTCACATTAAGAGTGCTGAGCTTAAGTTTTGGCGTGGCCCACTTGTTAAGGGTAAAAACGAAGAAGAACGCAACCACTAAAGGAACCATTGAGTATCTTAACTCAAATTGAGTGAAGCCAAGCACTTCATGGAAAAATTGTAAAAGGCGACTCAGACTTGAATGGGACAACTCAAAATCGATTGAGTGATTTGGCGAACAAGTTCGACTCAATGGCTGAGTGCATAACTTTGAAACACTCGAGTCATAGTTGTAAAAAAGAAGAACGCTTCTGTTGTTGCACATCAAATTTATTCCTTAATTTGATACACTTTTATTGCGGCAGTTTATGGCTTGTTTGGCCCTTGCGGTTCGCCTAAGCCCAATCCGGATCACACCCCGGCTCCGGGTCTGAATACAACATCAAGTCACGGCGCGCACAAGTCAGCGGCGACGATGAATGTATTTTAAAGTGATTCGGATGACGATTATAAAATGCCTTGTCACGCAATCATTTTTTAATCCTTCGACGTTGTCGCATATAGCCGTGTTTTATAGCTCCTGGTCCGGCTCCCGCTCCTGCTGTTGTTCCCGCTCTCGTTCCACTTCCCGCCTTTGAGCAGTAAACGTGGACCAGCCCCTGTCAGAAATGTGGGTTTATGTGTCAGCCTCAGCCGTGCAGTTCCGACAGCAATCGACTCAGTGCATTCCTCAAAACGACTTAATAAAATTATACGAGTGCCAGCTAAGCGTCAGTACGTTCTTGTTCGGGCTGCGTCCGTCCACATTTATTGCATTTTAATTGCACTAATGATGTACCGTTTTGTAAATTACGCAAATGAAAAATATAAATCACAAATCTAATTAAAACCGTAAGAGAACACTCGTAAAAGTGATGAGCATGCCGAGAACTTAACATTCTCACTTACCACAAGTAGGAAGTCGAAGAGTTGAAATAAAGATGTGCAGCTGTAAATAGAACATTTATTTCATTTTAATAAATATATTTATTCATATATTTAATATATTTATTATTTCTACTATTTCGGTTATTTTCTTTAATATGGAGCATTCCCCATTAGAGACATATCTCCCCGGAGATCTACTAATTAGACAGAATGCTTAAGGACTGACATCCAACACCTTAAAAACATATAACAGATATCGATTTAATTTTTTTCCAATTGTTCTTATTAGAAGCTTCGTGATTGCTAGATTTGATAAAGATATTTTATAAATTCAAAGTTCTTCTGTTAAGAACTTAACTCAAGGTTCGCCGATTCTAAGTCGCTGCAGATTTTTTTGAAAATGATTCGATATTTCGCACACACAGACTTGTTAAATTATCGATAGTCGCTCCATCGATATTTCGAATCGTTTTTGTCCATCGATCATCGATACATCGATAGTATCGATTACAATGAACTAAAATACAGATTTTTCAGGCTACAGAAACAGAAAAATCGTTCAGCAATTTAAGTGTAAAAACTTCGTTTTCGCATTAAAAAATATTTGTAGCTTCAGTGATATTGGGAATAAAAACGAGGAATATTAAGTGCTCTTAATCAAAAGCTTTCAGATGAAATTGATTTTTGACCTATCGGAAGACATGATATAGTAATGCGATGTTGATCCAATTTTGAGCATTTATAAAACTTAATGAAATTAGTAAACGACGAGTTTTTCCAATATAACTTAAAGCTTTTCATAAAATAGCACATTTTTCGACCAATCCTATGGTAGATCTAGTCCCAGTTCCGATATTTATAAGGCTCGAGGAATGATGAATAGCTTTGAAATTGAGAGACTAGCTTGACGGACAGACAGTGAAAGACTGATAAAGTTGCATCTTCTTATGCGTTAATCATTTCAATTTAACATTTAATAGTATCTACAAGGGTAGAGAAACATTTTTCTTCCATAAGTTTAATTAAACTAAATTAATGGCATAATTACTATAACGAATAAATTATTGTCTATTCATTTTTAACTTCATTTTATTAATTTTTTATTTTTTTACGTTTTCTATTTGTCAATAATAACAAATTGAATGTACGTGAGACATTGGTGAGCAGCTGACAAAATAAGCTGAATATTTGACTAAAAGTTTCTTTTGGATATTGAAGTGCATAATAAATAATTGATAAATATAAATTTTTACGTTTTAAACATTATTGTTTTGTTTTATATTAAAAAATATAAGTTAGTCGGTGTCACAGGAAAAGCTCATTTAAATATTAAGATGATAGTTACAAATGAATTGACGTATCTCTATGCAACGTACTTTCTTTGTAATGTCACAAGAGCCGAATTTGTTAAAGTTTAACAACTTTTCTTTTGAGAGATCGTCCCTCTCTGTCTGGGCTCGGAGCAAAGCGACTCCGGTGTTTCCGACATAAACATCATTTGCGTAGAGAGGGGACGTGCGTGTTTTATATGCCTCGACAAGACATTAAAATACGCACACGCCCCTTTTCATGTGAATGTAACGGGTGGTTTTGTGGCTAGGGGCGGCCGGTATGGTAGCAGAAGATGCTTTTTTTTCAGTTTTCCTTCAGTTGGGAAAGTGAATTCAAGCAAAGTGCAAGGCGAACTCAGCCAAAGCTGGTGGGCCTCAGATGTTGTTTGGTTGCTCAAGACGCAGCCGATGATGATGGGCTGACTGCAAAAGGAGATTTCAATATCATAAAAAACCGTATTAAGAGAATCTCATATTGAGAATCGTAAAGTTTTTACGACCGTTTAATGGACTCTTGCAGTAAGCGTGAGTATTTACGCGCTGCTTAAAAGCGGTAAAATATGGCCAAGTGGTGTCAGGGGACAAACACGCACACTCCAATTCACGGGCCCTCTAATACACGCAGCTGATAGCTAACACGTTTGTGGCAGGAGAACGAAGACCGGAGAATGGTCCGAGCTCCGAGGATGAGCCAAATAAGTGCCCGGATAACATTTAAAAGTAAAAACGTCAATTTTGTATATTTTCTGGCCTGTCTTGCCTTTCAATTACCGGTAAAGGGGCAGACATTTGGCAATTCCCAGATAGTGACTGCAGCGCCATCTAGCTGCGATATGCTGCACCAATGCTTAACCACTTGCTGCGTGCAGTCAGTCAAGCAGTGCCCGGAAAGCAGTTCAAATGCGTCCTTGCTATTATCTATGTGGGCAGGCAAGGAGCGAAGGTGTTTACAGTTGCGATTGCAATGAAAATGCGTTTGCCAAGCGATAAAAGAGACGGCAATAAAAGATAAACGGTTGGAATCAGAGTCGCTTTTGCTAGCATGTGGGAGGAGTCGAGGCGCATGTTGATTGGCGAAAAATGCGCTTTCGTTTTACCTAGGATCTACAGCATTATTCTGCTATGCCCAAGTACTTGATCCTTTTTCGTGTTGTTTACAGTGTTTTGCCGATCGGATATCGCAGTTGTGCTTTGGATATTTGCTGCAGGGCAAGACTTACTTCCTAGTCGTGCACACTCAACTATGGAACTCTTAGGTATTGAAAAACCGTAGATAATCTTAAGGATAATCCTACACATAATATTTATATCACATTTTATATATATATAAATGAGAAAACATTCACGCTGAATGAAAATAGTTAAGTAAACATTAAATTGCTTTATCTGTCACATCCAATAATAAGATTGTTCGTTGATTATTAAATAATTAAAAAAAAAAAAAACAAGTAAAAGGGACCTCCCGACTAGGCAATACTAGTGAAACAGAGTAAGTTAGCGATTATCGGAAACAAACTCGATCTGCGCGGGCACTAGAAGCACCTGCATCTAAAATTTCAATTCGCTAGCTCTTATAGGTTCTGAGATCCTTGCGTTCATACATACGGACGGACGGATAGACAGACGCACATGGCTAGATCGACTCGGCTATTGATGCTGAGCAAGAATATATATACTTTATCGGGTCGGAGATGCTTCTTTCTGCCTGTTACATACATTTGGATTTTGAATATATCCTTCCAGTTAGAAGTGCATTAAATGAAAATCACTTTCGTGATAATTGCAAATTTTCCGGGCTTCACAGTGTAGGATAATCCTATTTGAACTAACTGATGCATATCTTTAGGACTACGAGTAGAGCGGATGTGTCGGTCTGCCCGCATTTCTAACAATATTTCAAAACAAGGTAATTTTATATTATTAATATCTAAACGTTGCCCAAAATCGGCTAATGTTGTCTTTTGCCCTAGCTTTTGCCATTTGGTCGTACAATGAGAATAGTCAATTATTAAATTAATGATCAGTCAAAAACAGGAGTCAGCAACGACCCAATTAGAGCCTAAGATACAATACCCAAATTAATAAATAAATTTAGTTTTTTACGAATTTGCCAAGCCTGCGAAGTTGGTGAAGGAAATTATTAAAAGTATTTAAATTTGAACACTCTAGTAGTTCGGGGAGCAAGACGAAAACCAATACATTCTCATCACATTGGGAACGAGTAAAAGAATATTAAATAAATATAGTTTTAGTATCTAGGTACGTCGATGACTGCTTAAGTGCTTGTTTACCTAGAAAACTTACAGTAATTGTTATGAATGTTCTTTATAATTTAGTCGCACACATTTTCATATTATACTTTGTTGGTTCGTTTTGGTAACACACTTGCCACTTACTCAATTAACACCTAGCTACACAGCCAGACCTGCAGTGCATTCGGTATCCAATAGTAGCCCAACATGTGTATAGACGTAGAACGAGTGAAGTCACTTGGATGTAATCCTCATTGGGTGCAATTCGTAAGTGAAGTCACGTATAACGGCAGTTTTCAGCCGGGCAAATGGCATATGTCTGGTGACAACGACCTGACGACTTCATTAGACGCGGGCATATATCAGCAATGTGTCGGAGTAACGACTACCTAGAGTTATGTGACTTGTCAAAAGGATTTCCTATAATTTTAAGCACTTCCCAATGTTGTGTTCCCGGTTAAATCATAGTCTCGACTGCCGGCTTGAGATGACTTTGTAGACGTGCATTTCAAAGGCCTGAGTGAGGTCGCCTCGGAATTTCTTTCCTCCTCTATTTGCTGATTGCCCATGGGTAAATAAATCAAATCCAGTGTCGGGTGAAGAGGGCACCGGCAGCTCGTAAAACAAATTTCGCCGATTCGACGAATGTTGTTAATTATGGTTTTGCGTAACATTCTTATTGCCAATGTATATCCATTCTCTGGCCCGGTCACAAGCTATCCCTTTGTGAGTAATTTGTGTTTGAACTCGTTAAAGTGTCGAACGATATAATGGGGAAATGCGCAGATACTTGTGCCCATATGCAGAGGCACGACTGCGTTCGAGAATTGTGTGTTCGCTTGCAGGCCGGCTCCGCTTTCTTACTCTCCTCCCACAATTTGAGTGGAGCGCATCTTCTGAAATGGCACGTCCGACCAAGAGCTCCTAGCAATCAAATACAATTTGCAACAATTTAAGATTTTCGCTGCGGTAGCGCCCCATTGAATCTAAACGCCAGCTCGGATAGCTAATAGAAGAACGCGGCAAAGCCGATTCACACGAAATTGCTTAGATGCAAACTGAAAATGATGCCGGGACGCGTTTGATGGGCTCGTTAACAGTCATTGCTCTTGGGAGCACCACATCTATGAGGCACAAAGTGTGTCTGGCGTCAGCCGTCTTCCGAGCGAATACAGAAATGCGCAGAAGATGCAATTTAGTACAGCACTGCGGTTGCCTATAATGGTTAGCGCCAACGCTGGCGCTTGCTTTCGTATCCAATTCTGATGGGCCAGAGCTATCTGAGATCGAAATGAGGTTCCCATATAGCCGCATCTGGTTCTTGCCTACAAGTGTAATATGAGATCTCTGTATGTATGGGGTGGCAAGTATAACTAGAGTCCCCCGTAAGAGTAGTATACGATTTTTAATATAGATAATAGCTCAATAAAACTTAATATATAATTTTCCTATAATGTAATATTGAACAACCCCGGCCTTGTCAGAGATAAGTTTTCTGCTTCCAATTGTAGACACTTCCCCCTGTAATTCGCGTTTACAAGGCAACTTAACTATCGAATTGGGGTTTTTAAGAAGGCTTCTATCTTATTCCCAAATAGTTGGGTTATGCGCAGAAGCAACCCAGACAGATCGTTACTGCGAGGCAATCCTGTATACTTTTTTAACGCTTATTACTCGAGAAAGGCATTTTTAGTTCTACTTTTAATAACGCTTATATAGAAATAATACATATAGAAAATACTTTAAGGAGCGTATTATAATTTTGTCATAAAACGGAGACATCCCCTAACCAATAAAGTATGTATAAATACAAGATCAGCATCAACATCTGAGTTGATATAGCCATGTCCGTCTAACTCTGTGTCTCTCTGACCGGCTTTTTCTATGAGAACGAGCCTCTTAGCTTTGAATTTGTTTTTCATGAAAACTTGACTAGTCCCAGCATTTACTTGTTTAGCTATGCTGCAGATATGATATGATGAGCTAAATCTTATCAAGGTCGCACTACTTCCCAAGTTGAAGCAGCAGCAAGATATAACTGCATGATTTCGAACTTCGGCAAGGCACTAAATGGGTCTTTCTTTGAGTCAAATAACAAAATCTACCAATTAAATGTACACAAAACAAACACAATAAAAATGCTAATTGTTGTTTAAAAGTGAGTTTGCGTTAGTAATTGTAATCTAATTACTGAATTAAGTGAGAGTTAATTGGAATTTTGGATTGAATTTGATTTGCATATTGACAAACTATGGAGACTATTTCGGTTTAATGCCCTCAACTCGCCAGAACTAAGTGTGCATGCGTAATCAGAAAATCTAACTTACTGTCCAGCGGGACAGTTCGAATTAATGAAGTGCATAATGGAAGTAAAAACAGGCGGCTGGTTCAGGTGACTGGGCGGCGTTTAGGGACTTAGATGACCCGGAAGACGTTGTGTGACCTTACCTGACTGCGAATGGAGGCCTTCAAGGCTCCCTAACGTACAGCTTAAAGAGCAATGAGCTAAGCCATCAAGCACTGAACAAGCTGCCGGCCAGGGGCCCGTAAACCTGATCAACCACTTTGAATGCGGCAGCATGGCGGCGACAATGGCAGCGGCCGTAGCAGCCGCAGCAACAGCGGCGACTAGAAATGGCTGTGATAAGAGAAACCGCATTGGAATGGCTGGAGCTGACGGCCATGCTCTAGTTTGGCACTTTGAATGTTCATAAATAGATTCAAACGAGAGTTGGCCGTACAGAATTCATCCCCCTTCCTATGCGCACATCTTTACGCTCTGCTCTTGCCGCACTCACTGCGCATTTCTTTAGAGGAATTCCGTTCGATGCCTGCCTCGACGCCCATGCGGTTGAGCCAGGGCTAGGGATGTTTTTGGTGGCAACCATGACAACGCGTAGGGCAAGCTTAGGATGGCGTGAAACTGGTTTCGAGCTATTGACTCATCGTGTGGTCATCCGGGGGCTAACTCTTTTCGGCTGGCATTCAAACTTAATGCGTTGTTTTTGTTCTCGGTGCGGTCCGAACCATAAGACACCATAAGTCCCAATCTCGCTAGGGTCAGCGTCATTTATTTATCGATTTACCGAGATATTGTTTGTTATGGTGAAATGCCCAGAGTGAGGGTTTAAATTTCTTCAGAGTCTGACGTGAATTCTCACGGCCCAGTTCACAAGAGCCTGAACACAGATTAATTCAATATGCGAGAGACAAACTAACAAATATTAGACAAATTCTGATCTGACAGCTTTTTAAACCTATTTTTAATCAAAATTCCCGACAATGCCATTTTGGAAATCAAACAAATTGAAAATTAAGTTGCCATATTTATATATATATAAAAATATATATGTATTCTGACTTTCCACATATTTAAGCTAGCAACACCTTGTTCGGCTCTGAATTAACTAAATTCCATAGCTTCTCAATTTTAAAAGTAAAGAAGTTTCTCTAGGAAACTTTTTAATCCTTTTTTACCAAAATAGTTAGGTGGCATTTCGAATATTTTGCTCAGGACAGTCAAAGAAACTAGCGACTTTGAACTGATGACGAGCATTACCTGTAAGAAGTATACAAATTTACGTGACGCTGACACTTGCTATCTATAGCCATAAAATCGCTGGGCTTATCATCGATGGTGGCCATTAAAAGTGAGTTTTAGTACTGGTGAAGACGTTCCAAGCCGCAGTCCGCAGTTCAGCTCTTTGAAGCGAACGTACGCCAATTATGCGCACAGTCGGACATTGCGTGTTTAGCGTTCCCGTTTATCCCGCCAAAGTAGCGACGAAGACAGGTCCATTGGCGGGCACTGGCTGGCCTGCGTGGCCTAACTATGGCTAGCACAGGTCCATATATATATTTTCTTCGAAAACAAATGCGAGTGCCAGCCTCAGGTCTACGGGCGAGCAGTAAATAGCGAGGCGCGCGGCTGGGCGGAGGACAAACGCTCGTGCAATTAGTGCGCCAATTCTTTACACTAAGCGCGGCGTTATTATGCGGGGGATTAACATAACAATATAAATTGCACACTGTGCAACATATATTTGCAAAAATAATAAAAACTGGCCACGCTAGCGCATTCTCTGTGCCCACAGCCATTCCCATTTGACGTGCCACTGCGAATTGTAGACCACAAAGTAAGCGTGAGCGTGAGTGACAGCCGTGCAATGGGATTACGCGCAATCATTAGAATGATTTGGTGTAGTTAAGGTAATTATGCAGTAATGTAAATAACGCATTATGAATGAATGTGTGGGATAAAACGAACCCATCATCAAGTTACCTAAATGGGCCATAGACTTGAGAACTGCTTAATTTTTTGCTAAACAAAATGAGATTGGCAAACACAGATCGGGGCATGAAGATACTATACGTATATAAGTATAAAGTTGAATGCACAAATTATCTATTGTAGTACAAATTGAAATATCTCTATGTAGCATGTATTTATATGTTCTTACTAAATACAGTTTGTCAAGTTACAATGGGAATCTACTCTAACTCATGTTATTTTAAACATGGCAAAGAGTTGTCAAACACTCGCAATTGCGTTCCGGATTTTTGGGCTCATAAATATTGACTGAAAATCTTAAAAATAAAAAAAAAAAAAACAAAACAGAACAGAACCTTGAAATGTGTTCAGAAATATATTGCCTTTTGACAACACACGACGGGTCAAATTGCCAGATGGACTTGCAGTTTCTAAAGGAAAACAGACGTTTCCAGTTTCTAGTTTTTACGTCAGGCAGCCAAGCGACATCGTCCATTGAAGGGTTAAAATCTCCAATTGTTATGCAGGGCCATAAAATATAGGACTCTCTTTTAAAATGCTTCGGAAATCCTTTGGCGTGACAATAAAATGGCAAACAAAA